CCCCAAAACCCCAAAACCCCAAAACCCCAAAACCCCATGGTGAAAATTAGTATAAATGTAAGTAAAAGTAAATAATTGAAGATAATGCAATAAATTTTAAAATCTGTGTTTTGATAATGAAGGTAAATCCAAAAGCTGTTGCAAGTACTCATTCATCAGATAATTAAAGATTCTAAGCTAATTTAGTTGTTCTAAATGTTTCATAATATTCATCAAATTATTTCTTAGCTGTTTGATTAAGCTTTAAATATTTGTACAGAAATATGATAGTGTCATTATTTTCAAAATTGAGACTAATCTAATTTAGTGCTATTAAGCCGTACAATTCCAAAGTGTTTGGATGTGCTTCTCCTAGGAGTTCTCTCCACTGGATCAACCAAAGATTTGCAATATCTAAGGATTTCTAAAATTAGTCACAAAATCTAAAAAATTTAGCCATATAGATCGCAACTTTGATATACTTGTACTCATATTTCGATTAAATCTTATCTTTAAAGAGTTCTTATAATCTTTCTAAGCCTTAGGACCACTATTTCATTTTTATGAAAGACTCGGCAAAACCAACCATTGAATAAATCTCTAAATCCTCATCTTTTTCATAAATTGAGGTTTAAATATAAGTGTAGAAGAATTCTTTAGATGTATTTATTTCATCATAACTAACGTAAGGACTTTACAATATTAAACTAGCTTTTTTCAAAAGTGAATAATAATACTCTGTCTCAAGATTGAGTTAAGTGTATGGTCCAATTTACTCCATAAGTTTGTCCCAAAACTCTACTCTTTCACAGCTGAAATACATAAATTTGATGTAAAGCTTTAAGTTCTCAATATAATCAGCAAAATTAATCTACATTTGTATTTCATCCTAAAAGTTGATAATTAAAAACGAGTCTGCAACTATTGAGTAATCTTGTGAGTGGAAGTAAAATATATTCTAAAGCTCCTGTAAATAAAATGCTAACTGAACGAATTCTTATTGGTCATATTATTTCGGCTATTCTCCTGGATCCTTTTGAGTTTGCTTGCTATACATTATATTGATAAGTATTTATTTGAAATTAGTGTCATATTTTAGCTTGTATAGAGATGAATTCATGTTGTAATCGCCATTATGAAATGAGTCAATTAATTAAGGGCATTTCACATATATTATATCTTATCTTTCAATATAGTGAGAGTCGAAAGGTAGAGCCTTATCTTTAAATTCAGGCTTGCTGATTATCTATGTTTAAGAAGGTTGCTTATTGAATTATTAATCATTACTTGCTACTTTTTTATCATAGAAATGAAGATATTTCTAAAATCTATTCACTAGGAAGTTTTTATACTTTGAGATGTGGTATATATACTAGATTGATTCAAGCTTAAACTCTGATTTCATTCTGTTTGCAATTTATTGAACATATTAAATGTCATTGGCGAAATATTCTGCCCAGATTTCTATTACTTCGCTAATACTTCTTGTTTTTAATGCCTCATGCATCAGCATGTAGTTTAGTCCTTCATTATTTCGCTCAAGTCTATTGGTCTCTATTAAGTTTATGCATCTTTTCATGGTTTAGAGGAGGGCAAATTTATCAGCTTCATAAAGTTCATTTTTTGAAACTATGTTTCCTTTTAAAAAGTCATTGAATATTGTCTAGGTACAAAATCCTTTAGTAACTCCTTTAAGTTTGTAAATCTTTTTATCCCAGTCTTTTTCATTATTGTCTAACTTTAGACTAATGCCTAAAT